AACAAGTGAGCCTGGTTACGGGAAAGGCAACGAAGAATAGATTCTTCGTATTTCGCTCTGTCAATCATCCGCTTGCCTTTCGTGATTGCCAGTTCTTCAGAAGCAAGGGCACTGTATCATGACGTCACTGATGTAAGAAACAGTACGATTAGAGATCCAAGTCTAGACAGAGAAAAATCAGTTGAACGTAGAAGGCACTTCTTTCAAGGGTCGATTGGCTTGATCAGCTCTTGAGGATCTAAGGCTTTTCGCAAATCTGAATAGATGTTAACAACGGTAAATGGAAAAGCAACAGAAGATCCAGAGGAAGTTTAACGAATCCCCGAATGCCCAGTATAATCATCAGCTTTAATTAATAAACTGCTGTAGGTCCTTCCAAGATTTTGCCATACAGTTCAGTTCTGTGATTCATTTTTTAGATCTTCTAAGGAGCCACCTACTGTCTGTTGGAACCCAGTCTAAGTTGAGTTTGTTCGCAAAGCTGTGGCTGCAGAGTTATGTTAAAAGAGAATCATAACTGGTTGATTATCTTTGTGACCGAACCCAAACCATATTCTGAACTTTATAAATTAGAAGCAGCTAAAAGAAACACCAAAAAGTTCTTTAGTACACATCTTCCTATGCTGAAATACGCATCACACATATACACAAAAATCAGCAAACAGGAGGAAAGTAAACTCCGCGCGATGTGGCGTACGACAGATACCGACCGGAACCATACGAAACCGTTTAATATTGAAGCTAAGGCCAGCTACTCCTCACTGAGAAACAAGACACACGCAATTAATCGATGATCTACGGCCAAACGATGACGTCGTGCACGTAAAGCTTCTGGTAATGAGAGAACCGCAAAAATTACAGGTAAAGAAGTACGGTCCGAAGAGTTAAGAGTGATGACCAACGAATGGCATTCAGAAGCACTGACACAAAGGAATGCAAACGGTCTGTGTGCGCATAAAGAACACCCCGTTTGTGGAAAGTTACGACGTCAACGGACTAAAATGCCAATGTCCATTTGCATTATTGCCCAAAACCGCTATCGAATCTTTCTCCTCCGTGAGTTTCATCGTCATCTGGGCAACACAAAAAGCCTCGTCTGTCATTTACTGGCGGTCGCTGCCTCCTTGTCTGCTGCTGGTGGTGGTGTCGTTTGCAGTCGAATCGGTGGCTTCGTTGGCAAGCGTTTTCAGATCCTTTTCGATCAGCTGCTTAGCCAACTTCATCCGTCGAAACTCGTCGTAGTGCTGCTTGCGCTTCATCTCAAACGCCTTCCTTCGTGCTAAAATCAACGCACTAGTTGTATTAGTTGAAGTCATTGGCTACAGAAATGTCACCTCTCTCTTCATCAGTTTCCGTCTCATTCTCGCTTTCTGTTTCTGAAGATGAAGCGGCATCCGCGCACTGAAGCATTCTGAAATTTCAGACTGAAAATGATAGGCATGGTCATCAAGGGTGAATGAATGAAATGCTTCGTTGGTCATTTCCAAGATTTTTTTAGCTTTTACGTAAAATTAGTTTACTGTGCGCTTTCAAATGCAGAGAGAAAGATGCAACACGTAATGCAATTCAATATTTTTACGGCAAAGTGGCCTAAGCGATGTGACACCGAGAGGGAAAGGAAGTTATTAATGGAAACTTTCCAAACTGGTGAACAAACGACTTATGTTACCATTTCCACGACTACGTTCTGATCACTGAGATCCTTCTGACTCTACATTCACAACGACAGGATCATACGTGAACATAACACAGTATATAAGCACAGCGTAAAACAAGCGGCCAACAAGGGCGCTATAACAGACAGCATTTTATTTTGTACTGCAAATACCTTCTTCAAGACGAAGTTTGGCATTTTGGAATATTAGTTTATTATTTAATTGCTTATGTCACAGTTGAGTTTCGTGCAGGAAAGTTATTTGGAGGAGGGATCACCTCAATTAAGCAGAAAGCCATGCTGGAGGGGCCCTTCTTTAACAGCGAAGTGAAAACATTAACCTATTAAAAATGGGAGACAAGATTCAGCATGAAAGATCAGCTATCTTTTAAAGTGTTTGCCCGTTATGTTCAGTATAATGTAATTCTGCCCTTCAGTTTAAAACAAACACATGACCCTCTCGACTAGGCAAACGTAACTGTTGAACTCGAGTCAGTCATAAAATAGAATTTCAACTTCTACTGATCTTCTTGTAGTAAGATATGTAAAGAAGTTACTGCATGTATTAATCACAGCGTGCAACCAACGGCTATGGCACCTAACCCCACATGTCCAAAAAAGAAAATCGACATTGCATTTTCAGGATTGCTAGTCTGGCGCAGTGGCGCTAGCACCTCACAGCATATGTATCGTATAACGACATGGGTCATAACTTTCAGATTAGGCCACTGACAAACTGTGTGTAAGAAGTGTACCTCTGAGGAAGAAGAATGTAAGAAAATCAATATCGCATTTAAAATATAAACAGAGTTACAAAAATCCAACAATCTGCTGAAAATTTGGAAAGACCTCTAAACTTATATTTCGCAGTAAAAGCTGATACTCTACAGCGGTTACTGAGCAGAAAGCAGAAACGGAATTCTTCAGGTCATAAGGATTCCTCAAGATCAAAACATTGTTTAAAACAAAGCTTGATGCCACCTACCTTATGAACAAAGAACGAGTGCATTCAAAACTATCAAAACCAACGTATTCTTACTGTGTAGAGCAGGCTGCAAGCATTTCTTTGTCTAACTCGCTTACGCGAATCTTTTAATCCTCTCATTTCTTTCATTTTTTTTACCACTGCTAATGAATGAATAAATGAACAGAACCAATTAAATTGCATTCTAAACAATCGGGAATGAGAAGGGAAGGAAATCGATTCCTTGCGAACCATTTTGTGGGGCACTATCGTGTCTTGGCATGGTCATTCAAACAATCTGCGAGTTTAGGGTGCTGTGCTTTAATGACTATAATGGGTGCTTACGTGTTTGGCAGCTGATACCGTAAGTAGAATAAAATGAATTAGTAACAAGCTCATTCTCATTATGTAAAACTCGTTTGATCTCACATTTGATCACAGCAGGCTGTGGTTCCATGAAATTTTAAGACTTTCAGCGCGCGATTACGCATCTCCTATTATTTTATTCACTAGAAAAAAA